GCCCCCAAGGTTTGGAACAGACTGCCACCGGCGGCAGTTCCCTTAAGCCTGGGGGGAAGGGAAATCTATGGGCTGGAGGATTGATGGTCAGAGATGTTTGTTAGGCAACTGTTAGCCATTTGTTATTTTCATCATCCCTTTTTGACATACCAGAAATAGGAAACAGATGCAGATCCTCTGGACCTCTCTAGGGAATGGAGAATTTAGCTTTATCCATTCTTCTGTGTTCTTGCAACCACAAAAGAATTGTTCCTCTGCTCCTAATGCAAGGTCACTTTGCCCAGCTTTAGGGGAAACCTGAGAACAGCTGCATTGCTGAATGAATCTATGGGCTGGAGGCAATTCAAACACCCACTTTGAATGCCTTCAAGACACATTTGGATGCTTATCTTGCTGGGATCCTAAGATCCCTGATGACTTCCTGCCCCTGGGGCAGGGGGCTGGACTCGATGATCCTCCGGGGTCCCTTCCAGCCTGAGTGTCTATGAAATCTATGAGATATTGTAAAGTTCTATCATTCCTGTTCTACAGTTTAGGATCTGTGGCCCAGACAGACTTAGTGATGTAGCCCAGAGTCACAAAGGAAATTAGTGAGAATCAGAGCTTGCATGAATACCGGTCTTCCAACACAGACTAGTTCTCTAAACACTGGATTGTCCTTCCCCAAAGGCTTAAGTGCTTAATCACCTCTACTTCTTCTACCCGCTACCAGAAGTGTATCTGTGTGTGAGGGGAAGGAGGGAAAGGTGGTGAGCAGGGCACCAGCCTCAGATGCCAATCTAATGGGAGCACCAGACTGATGGCCAGCTACAGAGTCTCTGTCCCCTGCCCTCTCAGTCATACACTTTACAATGTCTCCTTCCACATTATCAGAAGACATGGAGGTTTTGTCCCCCTTGTAGAGCAGAAACAGAGGCAGCGGAGAGGGAGGCAGCTAGTGTCCATTTTTCTACACCATCTCAGTGCAAAAGCAGTGCATGCAGGCACTCTTCTTGCCACTTTCCCCTGCTTTGTATGAAGGACAAGAACTTCCTGTTATCTTTTGACTGGTGGTCTGTGAGCCAATCTGTGTGTTCAGCTGCAAAGGTCACTTTACTTCTGATTTATCACACCAAAATCAAGGATCATTTGTCATATTCATGTATTATCTTAGTCCCAGAATCAATAAAATTAATGTATGGGATGAAATGGCTTATGTTATATCCCCAAATCTCTTCCTTTAATAAAGACTCCCCCAGAATCAGTAATGCCTTCGACCAATAGCTTTGGCATTTTGCTTCAGACACTCCTTTACAATGAAGATAGTTCCTAAAATAAAAAAGCCAATGTACTAGAAACGTAATAAAGACCATACCAGTGCTTCACTGAGATCCTGAGGGACTTCTTGTTTATGTGGAATAAACTAGGTTGCTTCTACAGTTAGTCTTCCCATGCAGTTGGTTCAATAAAAAAAAAATATTATCCCTCAAAAATCCTTCCTTCTACAATTTGGGGCACTAACAGCCAAGGTCCCATAATTATGAAAGCTTGGAGCATTTTTGTTTGGATTCCTTCTATTCAATATTTCTGGAACATAGTAACTCTCATTTTTTATGTTCAGTCCATTTTCACAACCTTCTATTTAGTGATCAGGAAATGTCATTTTCTCCTCATTGTTTAAGTTTCTGCGAGCTGCTTCCTATTGTCCACAATCAATAAATATGGTTTCCTTAACCCTTCAATTCTACTGGGAGTGTAAAGGATTCCTCTGAATTGCTGTAAAACATCAGCATACTCTTACTAAGCATTTCTGAATATTTTCCCTTTCAATTGAATATTATCAAATGAAATGGTGCCTAAAAGAAATGCCAAGAGCAGTTAACAAGATAGCAACAGACCACTCTTCGGCTCTTACTGTTCACTGACCTCAAAAGTCTTCCATAATAAGCAGATTTTCCTTTCAGTATCCTTACGTCTTCCAGCAAAAGCCAAAACCTTTGAAAAATTTTCCCTTC